TTGCTGTGATATTCAGAACTAAATAGGATATGCACCTGTTACTCTGCTGAGTAGTTACTCTGTTGTTACTTGGTACAGTTACCATGCCTGGATACAGTTGTGAGTGCTTGGAATATAATGATGGGTAAGACACATCAGTGCTTTGGGAAGTCTGAAGTGAAGATGCTCCTGACTCTTGCTGATGAATCTAGATCTAAACTGTTAATAACTTTGTGGTGCATTCCATCTTTCTCCTACCCTCCTTACCCTCTAGGGGCTTATTCATTGAATAATTCATTCTACATGACACTTTTTTAATACATATTTTTTAGTTATAGGTGGACACAATATCTTTATTTTATATTTATGTGGTGCTGAGGATAGAATCCAGTGCCTCCCGCAAGTTAAGCGAGTGCTCTACCACTGAGCCACAACCTTACTCCTGCCATTTTTAACATATATTAAGTTTGCCTGTGTATTTGAATATATTTATAGACTTCTTTCTTCTATGTCATTAATGTATCTGCCTATTCGTTCACAATATTTCTTTTTTCCAGTATAAACAACACTTATTACAATTAATTTAAAATAATACTGTTAATAAGTAGAATCCAGAAAGTTCTTGACATAATTAACATGCTTAGGTATTTCATGAATACTTATTCATTTCTGGGACATAAATTGTACATATATTACCCACAATGTAATTTATCCACAATCTAAAGAATAAATAGGCTATATTATGGAAGCATCAGACTTTTAAATAAAAATCTTTAAGATGTAAAGCCAGTAAAAAAGTTCATTTCACTATTTCAGTCCATGCTCAGTTCATTCAAAATATTCTTTCTGACAATCAGTAGAATTCATTACTTAATAAAAAGAACACCATATTTATGCACAAGTAACTTAATTTTTCCATTAAGAACTCATCTTCCTTTAAAAACATTTCCCACATATTCAGAGTAACTAACATCACAGAACTCTTACATTTGACCTAAATGTCTGAATTATAGCACTTCAAGATGGAATTTCCTCATGCCTAATAATTCGGTCAAGTTTTGCCCAAATGTCTTCCAGGTTTGGTTGTTACAAACATTGTGTTCTGTTGTCCCTCTTGCTCTATAGAGTGAATACAAATTTAGTGCCTTTAAACTATATTGCAATTTTTTAGACAAAAGAAAATATTTTCAGTATAATTATTGTTGACAAGTAAAACACTCCAAAATTTCTTTTTGCTTTCCTTTTTTATGGACTTTAAAATCCAAATTTCCAAATTAGTCTGTTCATTCAGTGTGTCTGACTAGATTAAGTGATGCTTTTTCAAACTAGGTTGGAAGTCCAAAAGATTATTGTGTAATCATAACTCTGTGATTTAATGTAATGTTCTGAAATAGTTAAGTACGGTTTTGCATCTTCAACTGCCTTTCCAGAAATAACAGGTGGCAATCTCTTAAGTTGGAGTGGAGGTTTGGACCTATCATGTGGAAACCAAAGAACAGATCTTGATGATGATGAGTAGAAGTTTTGATTTAATTTTTGGCAATTGTATGGGATCACTTTGGTATGGTGGATAATGTAATATTACTTCTGTAGTCATTCTGCAATAATCCAGTTACTCTCAATGAAAAGAAATCTTAGCTGAACTCTTCAGAGGCAGAATGTAATTTACGATTACAAGACTGTCTTTCCTGTCAAATCAGAGAGAACAGGACCTTTCAGTGCCTGCAGGTGCTGCTGTTTGGGGAAGTTTACTTCTGTTTTGATGGGCCCTTTGGACCCACTGCTTACAGGGGCTAAAGAGGTTCCACATGGCCCTAAAGATAACAGAAAAATGCACTACTGGGAGACCCAGCATCAAATACATGTTCAATAGCCTCTCTCAGCTGGTGGTACTTTAAATTCTCTTTTTACTATGTCCTTCACAGCCTCCAACAGCTTCATTTCATCCCAGTCATCCCTTCTCTTTTACATCAATGGTCCATCTATAATCACACATTGCAATTTCAAAAAACCACTCCTTGATACCAGTATGCAGCACCCCAGATCCACAGTATTTCTTAGAATATTAGTTTTACATATTTTTTCCCCTATCTAGTAGATGTGGTTGCCTGTATTATTACTTGACTTCCTTGACTTTTTTCAGCATTTTCACAATCACTTTTACTGGTTTGTTTTTCCATTTGAGCCTTAGAACACAAAAAAATCTTGTTAACATTTATGTTGGAATTACATCCTGTTTGTAGATTAACTGAAGGATACTTGAGAATTTTAATATGCTGTCTTCCTAGTCAAAGAACAGCATGTCTTTCTAGGTTTTTGAACCTGCTGGGCACAGGTACATAATGAACATTAACCAAGACAGAGAATATTCTGAGCCATAGAACATGCCTCAGTAAGTTTAAAAAGATTCCATTCATACAAAATGTTTTCTGATCACAAGAAAATTTAAGTAAAATATAACTACAGAAAGATATCGGCAAAATCCCCAAATATTGCAAACCAAACAGATTTCTAAATGATCTATGTGTCAATAAAGAAATAAAAGTGGAAATTAGAGTTTATTTTTCATTGAAAGAAAATGAGAACACGACATCAAAAATTGTGGTATACTGCTAATGTGCTATTTGGGGAGAACTTAATAGCAATAAAAGCCTACATTAGAAAAGATGCAAAGTCTCAAATCAATGACCTTGGCTTTCACCTTAAGAAATTAGAAGAAGACAATATAAGACCTAAAGTTAATAGAGGAAGGGAAGTAGATTATAGCAGAAAATAGAAAAATAAATGAAAACAAAAGCCGTTTCTTTGAGAAGCTCAATAATACTAAGTTTCTGGTCAGGAAAAAAACAGAACAGAAATCACCATTATCAGAAATGAGGTAGGTAGTGTTGCTATAGATTTATAGATAATTAAAGGATAATAAGGGAATATTACTAAATTTGTGTTAATAAATTTGACCACTTAGGTGAAATAAGACAAATTCTTCAAAAAATGCAAACTACCAAAGCTCACTCAAGAAAGATAAACTAAATATCCCTGTTAATTGTATCTATTAAAAGAACTGAAACTATAGCTACAAACACGTCAATAAGAAATTCCAGGCGTAGAGGAGTTCACTAGTGAATCCTACAAAATGTTTAAAGAAGAAATAATACTGATTCTACACAAAGTTTTTTAAGAAAAATGATGAGGAGGTGAGAGTTCTCAACCCATTCTATGAAGCTTGGATTACTCCAATGCCTAAAGGAAAAAAATTACAAGAAAACCCAAGCCAATATCCACTGTAAATATTTATGTAAAAATTCTAAACAAATGTTAGCAATCCACCAGTATATTAAAATAATTATAAATTAAGACTAAGGTTTATCCCAGGAATGCAAGATTTTCTAAATATTAAAAAATCAATTTATTTATCATATAAATAAACTAAAACAGAAAGACCATATGATCACAATGAACACAAACTTGACAAAAATCAACATTCATTCCATAAAAAAATCAGCAAATTAAGAATAAAAAGGGAACTTTTTCAACCTAACAAAAGGAAGCTACAAGAAATCTATAGGTAACATTATACTGTATGGCAAAATCCAAGATCAGGAACAAAATAAGAATGTTCACTCTTACTACTTCTGTCCAACAGTGTATTCGAAGTTCTAGACAGTAAAACAAGGCAAAAACAAAACAAAATCATCCAGAATAAAGAGTAAAATGTCTTTATTTACAAACATCAAGATCGTTTGTAAAGAAAAATCTAGTGAAATCTAGATAAAACCTACTAGAAATAATAAGTGAGTTTAAAGAGGTTGCAGGATACACCTTTGTACAAAAATCAATTGTATTTCTATATATAATGAAAAATCAGAAATTGAATTTAAAACATTATAATTTATAATAGCATTAAAATATGAAATACTTGGGGTAGGTTTGACAAAAATGTGAAAGACCTGTACATTAAAAACTATAAAACATTGCAAAACAAATTAAAGACCTAAATAAATAAAGAGATATAATATATTTATGGATTGAAATACTCAGTAAGATGTGAATTCTTTTCAATCTGATCAATACAACACCAATCAAAATCTCAGCCATGATTTTGTGGGTAGAAATGTAAAAAACTGATTCTCAAACTCATAAGGAAATGCAAAAGACCTTAGAATAGCCAAAACAATTTTTTAAAAAGTCGAAGGGTTTATACTACATTATAAACACAATATAGTATTGGCATCAAGGTCCACAAATAAATCATTGCAACATAATAGAAATTCCAGAAACTGTCAAATATAAATACATATCTATCTGATATTTGACAAAGGTACAAAGGTAATCCAGTGAAGAAATGACAGTGTTTTCAACAAATGGTGTTAGAATAATTAAGTCTCCAAACAGCATAACAAATGAACTTCAAGGCATACATCAAGCTATATACAAAAAACAAACATCCCAATTTAAATAGTGTGCAAAAAATTGAATAGACATCTCACAAAGAAGATCAATGAATGACAAATAAATACATGAAAAAAGGCTCAGCATAATTTGTCCCTAGGGAAATAGAAGTTAAAACCCCAACCAGATATTACTACATGCTTAGTGCAGTAGCTAAAATTAAAAACATTAATTAAAACCAAGTGATTTTAAATTTAGATTAAGCAAGTGAAACTTTCATATGTTATTGGTGAAAATGTAAAATGACAGAACCACTTTGGAAAAGTTTGACAGTTATCAAAATGACAGACAAATATCAACCATACTTCCTACTTCTGGGTATTTATTCAAGAGAACTGAAAGTATATACAAATTTGAAGACTTTCTATGAATGTTCACAGAAAATTTATTTGTAATAATTAAGTACTGGAAACAGTTCCAATATCTATCAACAGGGGATTTAGAAATAAACTGTGGCATAGCCACATAATGAAAAGAACAACTTGGAATTAAAGAAAGGAATTAATTATTGGCACAGCTGCAACGTGGATGAATCTCAAAATAATTATGTTTAATGAAAGAAGCTATACAGAAAAGGATACATAATTCTTTTAATATGAAATTTTAAAAAATACATCTCTAGTGACAGCGGATCAGTGGTTGCTTGAGGATGGGGTACAGAGAAGGTCAGGAGGGAGTTGTAGAGGGGCATGAACAAGCTTAAGAAGTGATAGAAATGTTTATCTTGATCATAGTGATGCTTTTGTGGGTATCAGAATTTATCAAAATTATACACTTTAAATATGTGCAATTATTTATATATCAATTACATCTCAATAAAACCTGAAAAACTCAACCTTAATGATTTGGCTTCAGGCTCCTATAGAAAAATACAGGTTCGGGAGCTCCAAAATCACAGAACTTCAAGATACTAACTTTACTTGCCTCTAAAATGTACTTTATCACTGTGAAATAAACTAGTTTTGTTAATTGCCCAATCAATTGACTATAGAGCCCACAATGAGATTCTCCTAACATAAACAGACCAAGTAAGATCATGTTATTAAAATTAGTCTTCTCCACCCTCTTTTTTTTTTTTTTTTTGTGCCTCTCTTTCCTTATCTGGGAAGGGACGCTGGGGCATATAAGAAAGATTTAATATAAGGAAAATACGTAAGAGTATTATGTGTATTGGAAATTTATGATGTGAAACTAGAAAATGCATGCTAGTATCCAAAAAATAAATATAAGATTTTTCTTTTCCTTTTTTCCCTATCTTTATCTTCCTTCTTTCCTTATGATCCCCTCCACTTAAAAAAAATCCTCTTTCCTACCTTTCTCTTCCTTCCTCTTCTTATGCTCTCCTTCCACTTTCTATCATTTCCTCCCCTATCCATAGTTTCCCCCACTGGCTGGCAGAATTGCACTGTGGCCCAGATTACAACATGCACTCTGGAGCTGTCTGCTCAATTTCAAATCCTTTGCTCACTGTCTTAGGCATGTTATTTAAAAGCTCACTTTAGCTCCCCTGCATAGGGGAGTAATGGAGTAAAACTGAATGTTCTTTCCTCATAGGACTGCTATGAGGATGAAATGGGCTGAGATAGAAAAAGCATTTAGAATAAGTAGTCACCATGTAAGTTACCATTCTGAGAGCCCCCGCTCTGTGCCAGGCACATTGGATTCCAATCAGTTGCATGTAAAGAGTGTTGGCTCAAAGAGGGATGCAGAAGATGTAAGATTGCAAGGCCTAGACACAGCCCTGGCTCGGCCAGTACAATTCTCTGACCCTCACTGTGCTACTTATGCATCAATGCAAATAAGAAGTTTGGTATAAGAGCTTATATTTAAGGTCTCTTCCAGTTTTTACCACTGTTCTTTGTAATTCAAGAGTATAAAAATATTATCACATGAAAAGCCTTTTGACAACTTTTTAGGGGCAACAGATGGGATTTTTATGTTATAATGAAAGCTGTTTGTTAAGTAAGAGCTATCAATGCAGTTATATGGACGTTACAATCGTTAAAATTTTTGTGGAACACTAAGTTACTCTTTAAATGTTTCATGAGGAATTGTAGCATACAGGTTGATTCCTATCTCCTGAAGCTGAACATGTTTAAAGTTCTGGATCTGAACCCCCCTTTCCCAAGTTGTCCATGGAGTTGCTTGAGAGGTTAGCAGTTTGTGTACTTTCTCTGTGAGTGAAGGGAGAATATCATTATAGCTTGGCCTTAGTGACCCAGTAGCAGAAATCCTCAATCAGGACACTCAGTAGTTTTTCTGGCTTCTTCAAAGTCAAGCAACCTGAGTGATGAGTGAAGTAATAAAAAAAAAAAATTAGAGTCTCCATGGCTCACTTTGTGTGAAATTTCCTGAAGTAAGTGCAATATTCTACATATAACACTGTCATACAAGAAAAATTTCAGCTTTGACAAGATGGGATATTTAATGGAGAAACTGTTTTTAGATGGCCTCGTCACACATACTCTTATGATTATACAATTTGGTGCTATTTTGAAGGTTTATGACCATAATGGGGAAGGGTACTGTTCCTTTTACCACACTGTTGGGGAAATGCCAAAATGATATGCTATTTCCCAATGGTTAGGAAATTCTTAATACGTTGAAGATTGATGTAGAAGTGTTATACTTCTTCTATTAGGCAAAGTTCTATCCACTTGTCAATTGAAGACATGTTGATTGCAGGGACCAAAGAGGAATTTCATTAAAATAATTGAACATTGTCATGTTCTAGTTATGAGTCCCAAGTCTCACTGATATCTACCAGTGTTCCTCTATATTTCTCATAATTCCTGGAGAAAGTCTAATTGCCTTCGGTTTGCGTGAGTTGCTCCCATGAAGCCTACAACATGATGGGTTTTATGTCATTTGCTGCTAGCTGGAATAGTCTGTTTTAACTTGCATATTCCTTTAGTGGCTTAGAGCTATCAGAGGTATCCATAGCAATACAGACTCTGCAAATCCATGAGAGGACCTGCAACACTCCTAACCCATCTAGTCAACAGTTCTAGTGTTAGGCCAGTTGTAAAGGAGGTTGAACTGATTCAGTATCTCTATTGGCCATTATAAAAGATGAGAAGGGAGAACAAGATCAATTTGATTCAATGGCATTTCTAAGTCAGGGCTTGGAAATTTTGAGTGTGTGTATGTATCTATGTATTCAAGTTTTGGTCTGATTTCCAGGATAAAGGTTAGTTAAAGGATACCAGGGAATCTTTAAAATTACTGTTAGCTAATTCAGTTTTTAAAAAATTATAGCAATTTATTATTTAAAATTGGAAAATATGAGAAATAAAGCACAGCCTCACAGAAACATAAACTACTACCATATTAATATATTTCCTACTAGATAACTTTTCTGTGCACATTTTTATAAAGTTGAGCTTATATGTATGTTCTATTTTATCATGTACTTAAAATATTCTGTGCATTTCTTTGTATTGTTTTAACAATTGTTTTTAATGTCAAAATGATATGCTATTGTAGTTAAATTGTAATGTGATTAGCTGTTTTCTTATTGTTGGACATAGTCTCATATTGATATGAACATTTCATGTAAATAATTCATACTTTTCTCTTTAAGATATGTCTATGAAATAGAATTACAATGTTAATGTTAATATATTTTTAAGGCTCTAGACATTTTACCAAAAGTTTGTGCCCCAAATACCTTCCTACTAGCAGTATAAGAATATTACATCTCATGGCAATACTGCCAATATTGAGTGTTTCCTTAAAGAAGAAAAGTTCTTGTAAATTCAATAGCAAAACAGAATTTTTTATTATAATATTATAATATATAGAATTTATTATAATATATTATAACAATATATTGTAATATATATTATATTGTTTTATTTTTCCATGGACCTTACTTAAATTATTTTGTTTTATAAAGTCTCCATTAATACAGCAATAAAATACACACTAAAATTAATTTTATTGGATTGATTTAAACATTTTATTTAAAGAAATGTTCTGAAAGTTATAGTTTGATAGGAAAAATAAAAAGCACACGTTTATAGATACTTATGTAAATAGATTTTCAAAATAACTTGATTTGTTTTGTAGTGCTACTAGTGGAATGAATTCTGCAGAAACATGGTTGTACCTTCAAATCTGAACACATTACACTTATAGCAAAAAAGAAAAAAATGATAAAAATATAACTCTGAGAAACTTAAATTTTAGTAGACCACATTGGATTTGTTGAAGAATAAGCTCTTTTATTTACCTCTTCAAAGAAGTCATTACTTTTTTCACCTCTGTGTTTGCCTCTCTGTCCTATAAAGAAAATACAAGTGTACAATGAAATTTCACACACTTACTCCGATAATTTTTGGTATTTTGAAATAGATTATTGTTCAGTGCAGGCATATTTTTTTGGAAGGTCATTACAAAGAAACTGTGGATTTCTGATGGCCAAGCATGATCCAGATATATGAAGATATGGGTAATGTGGGCAATTATTCCCATGATCTTCTTGCACCAGATTTGGAGTGATAGGATTCAGGAAGGGGAAAGCCTTCCATGCAAGCTGACACAATGGATCCACCAGCATGTTAACAGTATTACTGTTTTCTTCTTCAACTATGAGATGTGAAGAAGCCCTAGCCCTACCAGAAAAATGTGAAGAAAACTAAGAGCCAGAAAAATCACGTGTATGCATGTGCGCGCACACACTCACACACATACACACACATTATTGACCTATGAAGTAGCTTACTTATATTGGAGACAACTATCTTATGAGTCTGTTTTAGAAGGGTGATTAATGTCACTTAAAATATTATAGCAATTAAAACTATGGTCCCTCCCCAGATTAGCACATCCATCATTGTTAAAAACAAATTACACAATACTTTTTATATTTAAGCTTTCTCAGTACACTTTAGGCCAATGAACATGAATACTGCCTCTAGGCAAACAACTTTCAAGCTACTGGTGAAGTCATTATTTCATTTAGCAATATTTTCACACTATCTTAGACATAGAAATCCCTTTTATTTAAAAAAAAATGGAACGTTTCTCAGGATCTGAGATTACCTCCCTAGGGTTAAGAAAAGTCCACATGAATAATAAAAATACTGCAATTTCAAATTCTGGGAATGCAAAGCTGCTTACACATGCCAAACTGTGCTCCAGAGACCTTGGCTGACATTCCCAATATCAAATAGGAGTGTGATGGGCTTAGAGCTCCCTGGTAGGGGACAAAAGACATGTCTATAAATGACAAGGAAGAAGTTACAAATGCCACAAGAAAGAGGCAAGTATGTTAAGCAAGTTCATGAGGGAGTGGAAACTAATGCCTAGGTTATCTCTTTTTTTGGTACCAGGGATTGAACTCAGGGGCACTTGACCACAGGGTCTCACTGAGTTGCTTAGTGCCTCGCTAAATCTGTGAGGCTGGCTTTGAACTTGCATCCTCTTGCCTCCGCCTCCAGAGCCACTGGGATTATAGGCATGTTCCACCATGCCCAGCCGATTCCAGGTGATCTTAATTGTAATTTGTGGCACTGATAAAACATTTTGATGATTAGCAAAATCATTAATGAGCTATATTTCAACATGAACAATCTTTTTAGAGACAGGTAGAATGATATGTAATTCACTTCATTTTGATCTCTTTGGAAAAGAAATTTTAAAAAAATTACTAAGATTATAAGTGGAGACATCACTGGAAGAAAAAGAAGAAGGTAATGTGAGAAATAATCTGCTCATGCTATCTTGCTTACTAAAGAAATACTCATATAGCATCCAAATTTCTTAGTTATATTTACTAACAGTCCTACTTATTATTAGTGTTCACACTATTATTTTTATTTGTGTAGAATTAGTGTCTTGATTCTTTCTACCAATACTTACTGAATGGTACTTACTGAATGGTAATATGCTAGGCAACATACTCAACACTAGGGATACAGTGGTGAATGAAGCAGACTTGTTTGCTATTTTAATGGAACAATCACACAAATAACAAATAACGTATAATCACAATGGCACTAAAAGATATGAAGGAAAGCATGAGGGCCTTTCTTGCCAGGGGGTATCATGGATGTCTTTCCTGAAGTCATGGTATTTGTGGTGAGACTTGAAGGATGAATAGGAGTAAAGCCAGTGAAAGGGGTGAGGGGCTGTGTGGGAAGTGAGTGTTTCAGGAAGAGTGAAGAGCAAGCTCTAAGGGTGAAAGGCAGGGATGAACATGGGGCAAAGGGGAGGGAAGACATGAGACTGGTAGGGGTTAAATCAGAGTCTTGAAGGACATGCTAAAAATGTGGAACTTCACTCTCACAAAAAGGCATGAGGCAAGGAAGCTGTGAGAGGACATCTAGGAGGCTCTCACGCCTTGAAGGCAGGTGGCGCTCTGAGCAGCAGCAGTGTAGAGAGTGAAAAGTGGGGTGGTTTAAAAGAGGAATTCTGAGAACTTGGTGCCCGGGGATATGTCTGTGCTTGGGGGGGGTAGGAGAAGGAGGCATTAAGAATGATTTTCAGGTTTCCCTTTTGGGTGGATGGAGGTACTACTTACTAAGGAGGAAGGTGGAGGAACAGAAGATGCGAAGGCCTGATGGTGAGTTGAGTGTGAGAGGTCTGAGGCCATCCGAGTGGAGATGTCAAGTAGGAAGTTGTACTAGAGCTCAGAAGAGAGGTCTAGAGATAGAAATTTGAGGACCCCTGGCATACGTATGGCACTTGAAGCCATGGAGGACAGGCTTGGGGATGGGGAGAGGAAGAAATAGGAGAGAAGACAAGAGACTTACAGATCAAGGACCAAACTCTGAGCAATGTCAATATTTAGCCTCCTGTGAGAGCTCTAAATTTCATGCATAAAATTTGTAAGTCAAACTAGGTATTATATAGCATTATCATACTGTATTCTAATATTACATTATAATATGAATGAATGATTGTATGTAACTGACATCATTCAGGAAAAACATGAAAGACAGTAGGGTTCCCATCACCAACACATATCAAGCAACTAGAGGGACAAAAATCTGATTTCTGCTGAAAAAAATTACCTAAAACTTCGTCTTCTGGAAAACTGCTACTGAGATTGTACCATTTTGTACCTCTTATTAACTTATGGAACCTAATAAGGGATTTGAGTTAGAAGGGCAATCAACCCCGCTGGGAATTCCTAATATCCAGAAAATATATATCTGCAGCCCAGGACCTTGCTCATGGGTCTGTGGAAGGGACTCAGTGATCCTCTTTAGAGACATAGACATCCCCCAACCCTAAGGTTCCTTGGCAGATCTTGTGTCACTTCCCATTTTCAGCCTCATTTCCTACAAATGCCCTGAGCATTCCTTCCACAGGCAAACAAATCTTTGCTTTCTCACTTCTGTGCCTCTTTCATGACACGCAACATGCTTTACTCACACTTCCCCATTACACAAACCTTTTAAAAACCACCTCTAATGTCACCTAACCTCTTCTAGGAGAAATAATTTTCTCATTTTCAAACTTTCCATAACCAATTATTTGTACCTCTTTTAGCACTTCATGCCTTCTACTTTAAACCTCAGTCACTTGGATGTACACCATATGTTCTCTCAGGCCACAAGCTCCTAGAGGGCAACAGGAGTCTTACTTGTTTACATTCCAGATCACAACCAACAGTGGAACCTGCACTCCTTCAACACAGAAGAGCAAAGTTTTTCCAGAGACAGTTCTTTTTTTTTTTTTATATGAATCAGAGGATGATGATGTTTGGTGGTATGAGAAGGGAGCAAGAATACTTTTACCTATTTCCACCTGTTCCCACAACACCAGGCAATGACTCAGAGAAGCAGAGACTGAACTGTGAATCCTGAAGCATGCCTAAACCACATAGCATACCTAGAAGTCTGAATTTTAGGATAAAAGGTCAAGAGGCAATGTAGTAGTTACTTTTCCATTAATGGAAGGTGTCAAAAAACAAAGAAAATGTTAATATACACCTTTAATCCTTTTGATGGCCTTGGATAATCTCACTGTGCTCTAAGTTTGTTTGCTGCCTACACAGTTTGATCGCTAGCTCATGTGCTGTCTGCCCTCCTTCCCAGTGGGGCTTGATCCATTCTCTGTAGTTTTACACCTAGCAAGCATCAGGATGTTTTATCTGCTAGCCCATGACTTTCATGTCCCTTAAAAGATTCAAGTGGTCTTCTAGTGATAGTTATTTTTCAGAACTATTGCAAATTTTAAAACTTCACAGTACATGTAAAATCCAGGTCAAAATGTCTTAGTGTTAAAGAAAATGCCATCACAGAAGCAGAAAATGTAAGAGTGATTGTCAGTATCTCCCTATTTCCTCTGGGATGGTCAAAAGGTACAAACTTTCAGTTGGAAAGTGAATAAGTTCTGGAGATCTTAGGCACAGCCTGGTGACTGTAGTTAATAATTGTAGGGTATGCTTGAAATTTGCTAAGAGAGAACATCTTAAGTATTTTAAACAATAATAAAAAAGGTAACTGTATGGCGATGGAAATATCAGCTTCAATGTGGCAATCACTTCATAGTGTACACATATATCAAAACATCAAGTTGTACACCTTACATACAAATACTTGTATATGCCAATTATACCTCAATAAGGCTAAAAATGTCAAATTTATTTTTATTTTTTATTTTTTTCAAATTTAATAAATAAAGAAAACTCTAAATATACTAAGTCAGTTGTTCTTATTTTAAGCTTGAATAGTACTAATAAGACACCATCACTCATTGTCACTAGACTTACCTCTTTGGTAACAACAGGAAGTAATAATGCCAAATGACAGACCTTCCAAGCATTCTGATTTTCATGAAGATCTATATAACACTGGAAATGAAAAAAGATATTTTAAAGGTAATTGCATTTTTATGTAATGGATTCAAAGTGATCTTTAAATAGTGTTCTTCATTACCTTGGCCAAATACATATAATTGGGCACAGAGTAACCAGGGTGTAGGTCTTCAGCCTAATTTAAGAGAAAACAGATAAGAGGATAACAGGACAGTATCACAACAGCAGCCACAAGTGATGAGGATATATTTCAATAAGTAAGATTATTAACATAACTGCTCTAAGAACTTAGGCTGGTTGTTCACATTTGAATCATCTTATCAATTTAAGTGTCTTTTGGGCATAAACATAGCTTTTGCATTTAACCATTAAAATGAAATTGATTAGTATGGTCATAAAGCTGACAAAGCATTGAAACACTTTAAGTTTTGAAATTCCTTAACATAATCATTGCCTTCACTCTTTTTTGTCTATGCTTTCTTTTTTCCTTTCAACAACAAAAACAACTGGTGATATATTCACTGCAAGGCAGGTCCTATACATTTCACACACTTTAGGTAATGAGAGAAGAGCGTGATTGGTAACAATGGCAAGCATCTTCCATGAGATTCATATTTAACTTTTTATGATTTCAACACATTCTATATGAGTTGGATAATACTTGAAGTCCATCACAGCAAGTCCTTTTGAAGGAAAAACAGATTCTTGAAACACTAGTCCTAATAGTAGACTACCTACATAAGTAGGACATGCATCCTACCAGACCTTCTGTTAAGTAGAGGGAAAAAAAAAACGGTTTTTGAAAGAAAATTTAAAATGGGATCATTTTCTGCACATGAGTTCAAAACTTTATTTTACCTACAAGTATCAGACACATTTTAATGTTAGTATATACAGACCCACTCCATTGTTCATACTGTGGATATGCCTTAATTAAATGAAGGATTCCCCAGTAGACATTTAGATTTATTCTCTATTATCCCCAATAACAATCAGTGAGCATACTTGTACCCATGTGCTTATGTACATGTGTGATTATGTCTATAGAAGAGACTTCTAGAAGTTGAATTGCTGAGTTGAAGAAGGTGTGTGTGTGTGTGTGTGTGTGTGTGTGTGTGTGACCAAGTTAGGGTGCTGAAGGGTTCTGCAATATCTTAACAGAGCATATTCCTTGTAAAAGACACTTTATTCCAAAAGGAGGAGGAGGACCGTATCTCCCGGGCTGGGAACTCAGCCTGGGTACAATTTTTAAAGATCAAGTAGTTGACCAATGTGTGGACCTGTGTAGAAGGGAGACCAACAGATTAAAGGAAGTTGTCATTTCAGTTTTAGCCTGAACTTTGAATGTAGAGCCATCTGTGGTGCTGATGGATTCTGGTTCTCCTGCTTCTTCTCTTGTCTAATTATTTTCACTTCAACATTTCTAGTTTAGTAAATACATTTCTTGAGCCATCCTAACAAGGATAGAATGAACTTTGTCCAACTGTACCTGCTTCTATGTTCAGTAGTTGTGCCAGCTCTGTCCAATCCCATCTGGGATTGAAATACTAGTCCTAATAGTATGCACGTAGGCAGTTTATTTCTTCAATGCTGGTGTTTTAATTCTGCATACTTTACTTTAACACCTGTGTTTAATTAGCCAAAGTGATTAGAAATTGAAATACTTCTTTTTGTTCTCATAGCTAAAAACAAATGAAACCCAAAGGAATAGAGACTATTGGCAACACTGAATTCCTAAACTGGAAGAGATTCTAACCATTTACTAAAGCCCTTAGATGAATTACAAGAAGGGCAACAACATTTAGTATTATGTTCTAATTAAGGGGCAGTTTCTAAAGAGGCTCTGATAACACTCTTTATTACAACACTTGGCAAAGACTGCTGTACATGTTTACCTGGCTGTCCAAGTTCCTTGAGGGCAGGAACTGTGTTGGTCATTTCTGTATTTCTTGCATCTAACTGTGTTTGACATTAGTGTGTTTGTCTAATGTGTTAAGCACTATGTGCTTAATAAACACTGTTGAGTAAATAAATTTTGCTTTAAAACATCTCATAATTTCAGGAAGTTGCCTTATACCATATCAGGACATAGAAGAAAGCTCTATAGCTGGTAAAACAACTAATAAAGACTCATGGATTATATGATTGCAAAAAGTATGTGAAATCATGTTTCACATACTGTTCACCAATATTGCCACATCTCCCTATATGTATTCACCCTCTAGTTTAGTAATTCCCAGCCCTCCTATAGGTTGCTACTGACATCACCTTGAAAGCTTTAAAAAAACTGGTCAAGTTGTAAAACTGTATGATCCAACAATTCTACCCCCAGGTACATACCCCAGAAAAATAAAAACATGTCTATACAAAAGCTTATAAATGAAAACTTACAGAAGCCTTATTCATAATAGGCCCAAACTGGAAACAAGGCAAATATTGACCAATAAGTGAATGTATAAACAGGTTGTGGTATATCTACATAATGGAATATTACTCTGCAATGAAAAGATTTACTGATAAACTCAATAAAATGAATGAATCTAAAAATACGTTGAGTGAAAGAAGACAGATATACACAAAAGTACAAGTTGTATGAGCAGATTAGTGGTTACCTTGGTGGGGAATAAGAAAACTGACAGCAAAGTGTAAAAGATAACTCACTAGGGTGATGGAAATACTAATTTTTAAAATGGTGATGGCTATATGGGGATAAAAATTTGTCAAACTTCTCTGAACTGTATACTTAAAATGAATGTGATTTATTGTCTATAAACCATATCTTGACATAGCCAGTGATTCTGAAACTAATAGTCTGAGTAATGGCATTGGATACATATTTCAAAGCTCTCAGGTGATTCTAATGTATTGCCCAGGGTATGAATCACTGCCCCAGAGAATCATGCCAGAATTTTGGATGAGGTGGGAAACATTCTACAGCTTGAAAGAATTCCCATAACGGATTCACAGATGATGATCAGTCTAAGATTCTTGGAAGCTGAGGAGGATCAGATTTCCCATTATGAGAGTAAAATAACTGTAGCTGATATTTCTATTTGGTTAGAACCTTTAACATGCTAGACCCTGGGCCAAGATCATTAGATGTATTGTTTTATGTCCTTACACAAACCATAAAAAGTAGGTATTACCATGCCCACTTAACAAATGAAGAATTTGAGAGTAGGAGAAATTTGAAAAATGTGTTTCAGATCATACAGACAGGAAAATGCTTGAGTCCTAGCTTCATTTGTCTGACTCTAAGTCAGTGTTCTTGACCTCTACTGCACCCTATTGGGTGGCTCTGGAGACCCATTCCTGGAACCTGTGAACTTTCTGTGGAGGAATGGATTGGGAACAGGAATTCCAACAACATGGGCTCCTGTGGGAACCAGGGGTTGCAGACTCTCCTTAGGTGTAGAATCCAAGGCCTGTGCTATTTCTTTGTCCTCCCGTCCACTCCCAGGACAAGTTTCTTCTTTCCTTCATAGCCTTACCCCTCAGCACTTGTTCTTCAGTACCCTCAGCTGTTGAAGTAAATATGGAGAGAAGCATTCCTTGTGCTTTCTCCCTTCTTTTTGACAAACACTATAGAACACATTTTCATATAGAATCTAAATAATGATCAAATGGTAGGGTTCCCAAGATAGTTTTCCAAGATGTTTAAATTTTTAATAAGGTTAAAGTTCTGAGAGTTTTTTTTTTTTTTTAGTAAATTAAGCACATACTAGGTGCTAGACACACTCTAAGCAATTTACTCTTATGAATGTATTTAATCCTCACAACACCACTATGAGGTAGGTACTATTATCTCCATGCTATTGATTAAATTGAAAGAGACAGAGGTTTAATAATTTGCCCAATGTTAATCAGCCCATAAGTGGTAGAACTGATTGAACCAGGTACTCTAGTTCCAGAATCTGTACTACTTATCTCTATGTTATTGTGCTGATAACCATGTTTGATTTTATCTGTGTATTATTTCAGGCATATTAGCATCTTCTAAGAACTTTTTTACAGTGTTATGAAAATCTAATTTCCAATCATAACTGTGATATTATGAGGAAATGAGTTTTAATTTCAAATACATTTTTTTCTAATTAACTTGGCATCTTTTGTATAAATCATCTATCTTAAATCTACCATGATACATATTCTTATAGAATTTAAAATGAAAGAACTAATTCTCAGTGATATAAAAATATGAAAGAAATGAAGATGTTGTACTCTTTGACTTCATTCATATATTAAATCGAGTCTTCAACTGTCATTGTGTGAAACTGGACAAATTAGTTGTTCCTTGATTCCCTTTTCATAAAACAAAAAGATCACTTAAATAAAAAATAAAAGAGTAGGTCAGTGTGCTTTTATTTACTATACTCTCTTTGCTGGGCTTGTGTTTGATCTCAGAACACTTACTTTTTCACAAAGCCCTCCAGGTAGCCACTGGCCATTGGTCAGAGATGGCAAGAGAAAGAAAGCCTATTTGCCATCTCAGACTCCTGATGTCTAAATTCCCTTTCTATTTTACAAAATATATCTCTAAAATACAATGCAAATACTGGCACTGGACAATACATTGAGAGCCTGGTTTTACTTATATTTTTATAAATCCTGAATTAGGTTGGTGGAGAAAGAAACAACATTTAGTAAAGGCCGAGTATCCCATATTTAAAGTGCATAGGACCAGGAGTGTTTTAGCTTTGAATTCTTTATTAAATTTTGGAAAATGTGTATAGACTTTACCTTCTAGTAGAGTATCCATAATCCAGAAACTCCAAATGCCTAATGCTCCAAAATCTGAAACTTTTTGAGAAATGATATGATGGTGCTCAAAAATTTTGGATTTTGCATCATTTTGGAACTCTTGAGTTTTAAATTAGGGATGCTCAACCTGTAACTATAAGATTTTATAATTTGCTCCGAAGAAAGGCAAAGGATTAGTCCTATAGAAAGTTGATTATATGGGTGGATATATTACACATTTATTAACATATGTTCATATTTACATACTATTTAAATTTGTATTAGCATAGCAATAATGTATTGTAATACTGGAATAAAAATACTGGTTGGATCTGATGCCCCAAGAATCCTCCATAGAAGTGTGTCTGCAGCTTAGAAGGTGGTTATTAAAAATAACTTCCTTTTGGTATCTTTTAGTGCTTTGAGATGAAACTGGTTCTATATTAGGCTCACCGGGAGTACCGGGAACAAGTCTCATAATCAGGTATGACTGCTTCTGCACATGCTCACATGATTTGGGGAGCTGCTTCTGGATTTGGTAGTAAAGGCTGCTCTACTTAAACCTTCATTTAAGCTGCTAAATTATTTTTAAAAAGCAGCTTGTCATTACCAGGATCTAGGGTATATGCAGCTGCTTTAGAAGTTTGAGTAGAAATGTAACTTGTACCATGAAAGGCTTAAAAATAGAACATGCCAAGTCTAGGATTCAAACTGAAGCTTCATTTGGAGATCTACACGTGGAGAAGAGGAAGACTTTCTTGACAACAAGGATCACAGAGACTGGTACAGATGGCAGCCAATTTGATACCAAAATAACAGATAGATAAAATATACCTTAAGGAAGTTGTGCAAAGCTTCTTGTACATTTGAAGATGGTATTTTTCCAAACAGAGTAGCAGCCATCTTTTTCTCAATCCAGCTGAGTTTTGAGATCTGCAAGTACAGAACATTACTCTCAAAAGTTGTTCACCTTTTGAATGGTTAATCTCTCCCCAGTTATATGTATGTATGTATATGTATGTATTTATAAATAAAAATACCCATAAATAACACATGAGAGATATCACACTTCTGATATTAATATTAATTTTGCTTCCCTTTCCAATAATTATTTTTGGACAGGCACTGGGGATTAAACCCAGGGCCTGTTGCATAATAGGCAAGTGCTCTACCCCAGAGCAACATCCCAAGCCTCTTTTCATAATCCTAACAAGCCATGAGCTCCAGAAGCACTGGTTTTGAAACCAGCTTGGAATACTCATATAGATTGAAGAATAATATCCAATCCTCTTTGTTCATCTGATTTGTGACTCTGATATAAGTGCAGAGTACTTCTTTGCCTAGCACTTACTAGCTATGAAGCTCAGCCTTACTTTTTTTCTGCCTACTCTTAGCTGCCAACCTGCCTCCTGAATCAGAAGCAGTATTTCAGAATGGAAATAGAATAAGGAACCTCAACTCAGAAATGGTGCAGAGGGAGGGTCCGGTATACTTATTTAAACCAATAGCCAAACAAACTAATTTCATACTCCATATAGTTTTTGCTTTCTCTTAAAAGTTTTTCATTTTTTCAAATATGGATATTAGATGTTTGTAACTAAAGATTAAGCTCGTTCAGAAATGAATACTTGAAGGGTATTGATGTAGCTGATAATTCCTAAACTCCATTGAACAACTTCTTTCTTATTCCCATCTTCTAGATTTCTAGGTAATCATTACCCTCTACTTAAAAATTATTTACATTTCAATATAATTTTACTTATTGATATGCTTATTTCACTTGATTTGAAGTTTGTAAAAAATGATATTATACTGTTTATTTCCTTTTATGATGTGGTTTTTCTCACTTAATATTATGGTTTTAAAATTTCATCCAAGTTAATTAGAGTAACAGAAATCAGTCCATTAAATAACTTTTAAAATGTGAGGTTTAATATGCATAAATTCTAATGTTTATGAGTGTGTTCTTGTTCTATTAACAAAAGAGGTAGATGAAGTCTACCAATAGATGGTAAGTTTGTATATTTATCTTTATAATTTGGTCAGCTTTTATTTTATAATTTTGAGGCTGTTATTATGAACATACTAGTTTAGAAATTCTTGGTGAATTGAACTTTTTATTATTGTATAGTTATCCTTTTTTATCTCTAGATATAATTTTGCCTTAAAATTTATATGGTGTGTGTATGCACATGCATGTTTAGCAGTTTTATTTTGATTGCTATTTGATATATTTTTGCATGGGTTTAATTTCTACAATTTATGATCACATGTGTTTCTAAAATTAGCTTTAAAAGTGGTGGCTCACAGCCTCCCCTATGACTTGGGATGCTGAGGAAGGAAGATTGCAAATTTGAGGCCAGTCTTGGCAACTTAACGAGACCTTGAATCAAAATATAAAACAAAAATTACTGGGAATGTAACTCAGTGGTAAAGCACCCTTGAGTTCAATTCTCAGTACCCAAACAAAACAAAAACAAAATACAAACAACAAGAATTATAAATTAAAAAAAATAATGAAAAATGAAATCAGCTTTATTACAGTATAATCTAAATAAACTAAAATTTCATCTATTATAGGTCTATCACTCAATGAGTTCTGCTAAATGTATATAATCCTAAATCACCAAAACAATCAATATATAGGACACTTCCATCATCCCCAAAAGCTCTCTCATGCCCCTTTGCAGTCAATCTCCTTACCCCGTTCCTGCCGCAAGGCAACTACTGATCTATGACTACAGTTTGTCTTTTCAAGAATTTCACACCAATGGAATATATATTATATACTCTTTAATGAGTCTTTTTGGCATAATTCTTTGAAGATTCATCCATGTTGTTATGCTGCTAAAGCTGCTGTGAACATTCATGTATTAGTCTTTTATGAATATATATTTTCATTTGTCTTATTAAATACCTAAAAATTGCTCTACCATTCATTCATGAATTTATTTATTATTCATATATTCCCACCACAATATGTGAGAGTTCTAGTTGCTCTATATCCTTGCCAACACTTGCTATTGCCTGAATTTTTAATTTGAATCCTTTAAGTGAGTATGTAGAGGTTCTCTATTTTCCAAGAACTAATAATAATTGTCTTTTAATGTGTTTACCTGCCACTCCATAACATTTATTTATAAAGTGATTAAATTGAAATTTGATCTAGAAAACAAACATATGCATTTTTAGTGCATTAGGAAATACTTTTAATTTACTCATTTTTCATTTAATTTTATAGATAAAATTAAACATCCAGTGTTGGATGAAATGCTATAATTAGAAGAGGTAATGTTATACAAACTTCCTATCCTAGAGTAAGAAAAAAGATTTATCAAGTTCTTTAGTGAGTTCTAGCTTGTCTTATTGCAAAGCCATAAACTAACCCAGCTTATACTCAGAAAATAGCTTTGAATTTTACTAAAGCTGAGCATCCATTTTCCCTTTAATTCTTCTTATTTAAAAATAATACACTGTATTTAAAAAGAATACACTGTACATTGCTGATTAATATCCTGTATTCTATGTTTCCAAAATCTGAAGTCCTTTTAGATCTACTTCTGTTCTGGTTTGTTTGTTTGTTTGGTTTTTGTTTTGTTTTGTTTCCATTGATTGTTATTCTTCTTGGCTTATTTCCTTTTATAGTCTATAATTTTTGACTGTGAGCTCATCATTGTTGGGACACTTTGTGTGAAAGTTTTACAAAGTCTCTGTGAAAGTACAATTTTCAGGAAGGAACAGAATCTGCTTCTGTCATTGGCATATGGATCAGGGCTTGTTTTGAATTAAAGTTTCTTTCTTGGGATTTTAAGCCTAAACAAATTTTGTACATTCAAGCCCCAGACTCATGTGAGGTTGGGTCAATGGCTTGTAAGTCTCAGGAGTTTCCTTCCTTCCCTTCCCTCTGCCCCCTTGTCAAGACTGAGAATGAATAGTCATTGCTATAAGCTTCTGCTTCTGCTTCTGCTGAATTTTATTCATGTTCACCTTTTTATTTTCCCTAGGAAAAAGTATTTTTTGAGTCTTAGCTAACTGTGGTACTCTTCATATACTTTCTGCTCTGTTTAGGCCCACAGTCCCTCAATCCCCAACAAAGATCTGCTCACCAGGCTTAAAAAATACTTTTGGGTATCAGGTGGTTTCATGGCTGCTTTACCTGTCCTCAGAGCTGGTGTTCTTGGCCCCTGGATCTTCCTTTCCCTTTCCCCTTACCTTTCTCTCTTTCTTTCTTTTTCTTTTACTGATCTGATTAGAAACACACACACACACACACACACACGCACGCACAGACACACGGCACATATACTTATACATACTTTAAGATATTTTGTGGCCAGAAAGTTTTAAGTTCTCTAGTCTATATATGCTAGAAATGATCTTTATACATTTATTCATACTTCTATTTCCCCTGCTGGAATGAATTCCAACTTCTTTCTTGCACAACTCATATTTATCACCTGTACTTACAATTTGTAGGAGAACATACTACTAAAAAGCAAAGACTTTGGGAACAAACTGCCTCTGTTCAAATCCTATTCTGTATCACTTATTAGCTAAGTGGCCCTGGGCAAATCAATTACCTTACAGGGTATTGGAAGAAATAAATAAGCTAAAATAAATAAATTATTTTTAAATGTATAAAATGCTTATAAGAACCATGCAAATATTAGCCTTATTACTATTGCTTTTAAATATTCTTGGTTTTCAGTATTTTTTCTCTACTTTTAATTAACACTGCTAGATGAAAAGAAGTCTTCCCACAGAACCACAAGTAATGTTCCTATATACAAAGTGAATCAATCAATTATTCAAAAACAAATACTTGTACAGAAGCTTAAGTGTGAAGAACTGAGCTTGATGATGAAAAGGATATCAAGAAGTGTAAAATGTAGGTTTTCTACTCAAGGAGATTTCAGATAACTTAGGATCAATTGAAAGTAAATAGTAAATAAAAATGTGAGTTGTTGAAAGCCAGTACAGCCTAGAAAAAGAATGGTATATTTAATAGTGCAGTACTACAGGGAATGGAGATATCATCCTGTGTTTTAGAACATTATATTGATTATAAAAACATGAGTGCTAAAAATCATTCTATTTGACTCTGCAGTCTCACAACTAGGCTAAAATGGGAAAAATGGGTTATTTACTTTTTTTCCTTTTTCTTTATTAAAATGTAAGTTTCATTCCTATGTTACATAATATAAAGAATGTGATTTTGGGAATTAAGCAAATTTTAATTTCAATGTTGGCTTTTTCATAGACTAATTAGCTAGGACTGTGGGGAGGTTTTTAACATCACAAAGACTCAAATTCTGAACTGTTTAGAACTGGAAGAATAATTGCTTTACAGGACTGTTTTAAGGATTAAGGCAACAAGAAATAAACTATATAATATACATCTAATCTTCAGCGGGTGGGCAATAAAAGCAAATTTCTTTACCTCTATTCCTCTTTCAGTCTTAAAAAGAAAGTCACCTCTTTTGTCCACCCTAATGTTCACACTTACAAATAGCATTTCCCTTTCATGGTAACTTTTCCATGTACCTGTTAAGATATAGTCCCACATTCAGTTACTTCTGTAAACTAATGATGCCATTTTAGACACTGGGTCTAAGGCTGACCAGCTGCTTTCTTTTAGCACTGTCTCATATCTCTTCTAAATTAAGTTCCTTGAAAACAAACATAGTGTTCTATTCATCTTTTGGTCAGTTAGCCAGAACATAATTTATGTTCAATAAACACTGCTGGATGAAAATAAGTCTTCCCACAGAACCACAAGTAGTGTTCCTATATACAAAGTGAATGCATATGGGTGGTTGATGCCAACCCAAGAGATCACAAAGTGAGACAACTGCAAAAATCATGCATGTTTATACATATATAAACAAATTTCAAGTTTTAAAGTTATAACATATGCATTACAATTTTAAAATAGTATACAAATTATACATTTATGAACAATTATAAAAACATAAGCACTCATACAAAATTTATGCTGATTTTATAGTCTCCCTACAATTGGCACCCAGTAAACATAATGAATAAGTTATCTCTCTATCATATACTCATAGTGCATTTAAATAAGATTTATAAATGTAGGCATTCAACTTACAGTGTAACAGTATCTTCCCTTGAGGTAATACACAAAGGGTTCTTCAGGTAAAAGTGTGATTGCTATATCTAGATGTTCCTGAAAGAAATATCCAAAGGAAAAGTCATCTTCTAAGTTTCAGATATTACTGAATGGAACTGCACTAACTCCTAGTAAAAGTAAACTCTAAAGTGACTTAGAGTGTTGTTTCAGAGGCTTCCTTACCCCAACCATTAATATAATTAAATGATGACCCTGAGGGATTATTTATTGGGCTATAATAACTAAAGGCAAATAATAAGTGATGTGTACGTGAATTACTTATTTTATTCATCTATTGCTGCAAGTTTAAACTTTATATTGGACCCTATCTGCTCCTGCCAAGTTCATATGTAGATTGTAATTACGCCCAGTCTACTTATGATGTTGATAACTTAACTCACAACTAAGAGGTTAACCCTGTATCTTTGAAAAAAAATAGCACTCATTTCCTATGTGACTTATTTCCAGGATTTGGAATAATAATAATATTTAATTGCCCAAATAGTTTGATTCTTTTTTGTCACAGTACAGCTTAAAGAGTGCCATTTCATTTCCTGCTCACAATTTAAACAACATAAATATTCCTAGAGCTTAATTTGTTGAATAATCTGATTTACACCTGTTAATTAAACATATAACTACATTACAGCATTTTTAATGTTGATAAATACCTTGAAGCAATATCCATAGTTGACTTTGTTTTGTAAGCCCTCAAACTCAGATACCTGGCCACACAAAACTGCATACCTGAAAAGGATCAAAACAGAGGTTATCAAGTAAAATTTAAAATCAAATACTACCAAAACATAACATTTAAAAAGCATTGTTAAAGCATTCATTAATATTTAACATGAAAACAATAAATACTTGACATTAAGATAAGGCCATTTTCCTCAACCTTTCCTGGAAATAGTGTTATTAGAATTGTGTATCCCATGAATGATGTACTTTATTCTTCTGAAAATAAAAAAAATACATAAATGATTATGTGACAACAAACTGAACATAATATTTGTTCAGCAATTTGCCTATTTACTCTTGGGGAAAAAAATGAAAAGTAGATTCCCAGAAAAAGTCTCTCAAACTCCTTTATGAAATAGCCATGGTAACTTTAGGCCTCAATGTGTTTTCTTTTGTCATCATCTTTTTAAAACATAAAAATTTTAATAGACATTTTATGGAACACTTTTAGGTTTATAGCAAACTTGAGCCGAAATACAGAGAGTTCCCAAATACTTCCCCATGTAAAACACAAAAACCAAAAAACTCCTCCATTAGCAGTATCCTGCATGAGGTATATTTGTTAAAATCAATGATCGTTGATTTCATGATACATTTGCACATCATTATTACCCAAGGTCAATAATTTACATTAGGGTTCACACTTGGTGTTCTACATTTTTCTGTCTTTTCCAGAAAGTTTGACCTTTTCCAGAATGTCATATAGTTGGAATCATGCAGTGTGCAGTCTTTTCAAATTGACTTCTTTTACTTATTAATGCACTTAAGCTTCCTCCAGGTCTTTTCATGGCTTGACAGACCATTTCTTTTTGGTGATGAATAATATTTCATTACCTGGATGTACTACAATATAATTACCCATTCACCCAATGACAGATATCTTGGCTACTTCCACGTTTGGGCAATTATGAATAAGGCTGTTATAAGCATTCATATGCAGACTTTTGTATAGAAATACATTTTCAATTCTTTGATAAATACCAAGGAGTATAACTGTGGATATTATGGCAACAATTTAGTTTATAAGAAACTTCCAAGTTGTCTTCTAAAATGGCTGTACCATTATACATTTCCACCAGCAGTGAATAAGAATTCCTATTGCTTCACTACCTTGTCAGCATTTGGTGTAGTCAGGGTTTTGGATTTTGGCTGTTCTAATAAGTATATGGTGGTATCTCACTGTTTTAAAGTTCACTGATGACATATCATGTTGAACCTCTTTTACTTACTTACCATCTATACAACTTCTTCTGTGAAGTGTCCATTCAGATTTTTTTTCTATTTCTTACTTGTGTTGTTTGTTGCCCTAATGTGAAATTTAAAGTAATCTCTGTACATTTTGTATAACAGTTCTTTGTCAGATTTTTAAAAAAATATTTTCTCCCAGTCTGTGACCTGTTTTCTAATATTCTTTACATTGTCTTTCATTTTAAACTCCAGTGAAACTTGGTTTATAAATTATTTCTTTCATGGAGTGAATCTTTGGTGTTGTATATAAAAAGCCACTGCTATACCCAAGGTTATCTAGGTTTTTGCCTATGTTATCTTTTATGAGTTTTATAAGTTTTGCATTTTACATTTAGGTCTATAATCATTTTGAGTTTTTGTGAAGGATATAAAGTCTACACTCTCATTATTTTTTGCGTATGGATATCTAGTTGTTCCAGCACTATTTTTGGAAGATTATATTTATTTCTCTGTAAAAAACTATTTGACCATATTTGTATGAGTCTATCCTGAGTTCCCTGTTCTGTTCCACTGATCTTTTTTTCCCTGCAATGTCATGCTGTCTTGATTACTATAGCTTTATAGTAAGTCTTGAAGTTGAGCAGTGTTAGTTCATTGGCTTTGTTTTCCTTCAGTATTGAATTAAGTCTTTTTTCCTCTCCATATAAACTAAATTTGTTGATATCCATAAAATAACTTGTGGGATTTTGATTGGGATTGTGTTGAACCTATAAATCAACTTGGGAAACACTGACATCTTGACAATATTGAGTCTCTATTCATGAAGATGGAATATCTCTCCATTTTTTCATTCTTTGATATCTTCCATTGGAGTTTTATAGTCTTTCTCATATAGATATTGTACATATTTTGTTAGATTTTTACAAATATTTAGGTTTTAGGTGTGATAGTACAAATGTTAATATATTTTAATTTCAAATTTCACTTGCTCATTCCCAGTATACAGGAAAGCGATTTACTTTTGTACTTAACCTTATATCCTGCAACCTTGTCATAACTATTTAATTTCATGAGCTATTTTGTGAATTCTTTTGGATTTTCTACAAAGACAATTATGTCATTAGGAAATAAAGACATTTTTATTTCTTCACTCCCAATCTATATACTTTTCATGTCTTATTGCATTAGCTATAACTTTTAATAGAATGTTGAAAAACTGGTGAGAAGGGGCATCCTTTCCTTGTTACTAATAGTAGTTTATTTTAATCCAGGAAAGCAAATTTCTCACCATTTATGTATGTTACAGTTTGGATGTGAGGTGTCCTCCAAAGCTCATGTGTGAGACAATGCAAGAGCATTCAGAGGGAAAATGATCAGGTTGTGAGAGCCTTAACCCAATCAGTGAATCATCCCTTGATGGGATTAACTGAGTTGTAACTAGAGGCAAGTGAGGTGTGGCCAGAACAGGTGGGTCATTGGGGCCGTGGATTTAGAGTATATATTTGTATCTGGTAAGTGGAGATATCTTTCTCTCCTTTCTGATTATCAGGTGGGCTGCTTCCCTCCACTACACTCTTCCACCATGATGCTCTGCCTCACCCAGAGCCCCAAGGAATGAAACCTGCTGTATATGGATTGAGACTCTGAAACTATGAGCCTCCAAATAAACTTTTTCTCCTCTAAAATTGTTCTGGTTAGGTCTTTTAGTCCCAGTGGTGAAATAGCTGCCTAAAACATTTATCAACTTGAGGTTACCCTCTATTTGTAATTTGCTGAGACTTTGTTTTGTTTGTTTTTCAGGTTTTTAAAATTCTTTCTTTCTCTCTTTCTTTCTTTCTGTTTTCGTTGTAGATGAACACAATACTTTTACTTTATTTATTTATGTGGAGCTGAGGATCGAACCCAGTGCATCACATGCGCCATGTGAGTGCTCTACCACTGAGTCACAACCCTAGCCCTGTTTTCAGGTTTTTACACGAATAAATGTTGGATGTTGTTAAATGCTCTGAATCTATTTATATGATCATGTGATTTTTATTCTTTGATCTGTTAATGTGATATATTAATTGATTTCAAAATTCTGAATCACCACCTTGCATATCCCTGAGGATAAATTCCACTTGGTTGTAGTATATAATTCAATTTGCTAATATTGTGTTGAGAATTTTGGATCTACATTCATGAGATACCAACGAGTGGTTTTCTTATAATGTTTTTGTCTGATTTTGACATTTGAGTTGTGCTGGCCTCATAGAATGAATTGGAAAATATATAATCTGCTTCTTTATTCTGAAAGAGATTGTAGAAAATTGTAGTAATTTCTTCCTTAAATATGTGGTAGAATTTACCAGTGAACTCATCCAGGTCTAATGATCTCTCTTTTGGAAGGTTATTAATTATTTATTCCATTTTTAAATATGGATATAGGTTTACTCAGATTGTCTATCTATCATGTTCTTTTGAAATGCCCCCTGAAGTTCTGTTATCATACCACCACAAAGAGTTCTAGATTGTGGAGTAATCCCAATCCTTCCAAAATTCCCATAACTACCTGTACAAGCTCCCTCTTGTTGTTATAAGAATTATGATTTTCCAACTTATTTGCACTTAAAACCTTTGGTCACTTCCTATTAAATATACTTTTCTATTGGGGTAGCTTTAGATTTACAGAAAATTTGCAGATAGTACAGATAGTTCCCATATAACCCACACATAGTTGTCCCTGTTGTTAATACCTTACATTACTATAGTAAATTTGCCATAATTGCACCAATATTTTTATGCAACATTGATAGGAAATTGTCACAATATACCTTTATTAATATGCTATTATCAATTAAACTGTATACTTTATTAAAATTTAGGTTTTTCTCTAATGTTATTAGGCATTTCTGACACTATTCTCTCCATCCCTCCACCCACATTTCTATTAATTCACATTCTATTAGGTATAATTTTTAAAATTTTTGATGTTTATTTTTTTTTCACAGATATAGATGGAGGTTTATTTAGGTAAGTAGATATATATTCAAAGGAGAATAAGGACAATCCCAAGAGATATCTCTTGGATCAAAAGGAGGAATACACATTCAAAGAAGAATGTGGGATATCTCTAGGTGAAAAGATTAGGTTATAATTTTTAATCATGTCAAAATCTTTTGAATTACTATTGCCATCCATCATATACTCTGTTCCTTTATTTTAGGTTGCAGATAACCTTTTGTAAGCATACCTTCTATATCTTAATCCACTGACAAAATTTCTAAACACCTTAGGGTCTAAGATATATAGACTTCACCTAGAATAACCCCCACATTCACAATGATCTTTAAAAAGCAGAGCTCAAACCCTTCAGGCAGCATGAGTAACCTCATCAACTTGCCTACACATCTATTTCTTGTCTATAGGGATAGAATGCCTTGCTTAAATCCACGTATACTAGGCTGATTTCCCTACTTCAACTACTAGCACATAAATAAATAAATAAATAAATGTGTGTGTGTGTGTGTGTGTGTATAATGTTGCATTTTAGGAATATCTGCGTTGAGTCTACTTAATTTTACTTTCTCATCTAGAGAGTTATAAAACAACTCAACTACCTTGTTGTGCTAAAATTAAAGGAATAATTTATAGAAATGGGTGTGATTTTGTATTTTCTGGAAACCAGAACTACTTCTGCACATCTCTAAGCTTTTATTTTGCTTTCTCAACACATTCTCTCCAAGTTACTCAAGTAAAGAAAAAACAAAACAAAAAACCCATGGTTTGCATAAATATTATATATTATAAATAAATATTATTATATATTATTATATATTATTTTCCCTTTTAAATAATTTGTCACTGAGTCTTGTTTTTTTTTTTTTTTGAAATTTGTTTCTTTCAAATCTAAAACATTATTTATCTTCTTACATATTATGCATTCAGGGTCACCTGGCTACCTTCTACCAAAAAGGTCATCAATTCTTTTCTATAAACTCTACCTAAGTGTCTTTTATATATATATATTTTGTACCAGAGATTGAACCCAGGGGCACTTAACCACTGAAGTATTTTAGCCTGTTCTGACAAAAACAACAGAATAACATAGAAAGTTTAAGCAGCCTTAAAGTCACAAAGCAATTCATTTTGGGAAATATAAAGATGAAAATTATATCTTTAAAGTGATTCCTGATTTATTAGTTGTTACCTATTATTAACCCTTAATGAAAATTATCCTTAAAGATTACATCTTTTACTTTAAAGTAAAGACTTATAGAACATCATATAGCATTGCAAACTTGCTGCAGAACTAGACCTTTTATATATTTTATTTAGAGACAGGGTCTTGCTAAGTTGCTTAGGGCCTCACTAAGTTATAATATTGTTAATTTTTTAAAAACATAATTTAATGTTTTATTTCCCAAACTCTCAGGTTGATGGGAACTCTGAAGAAAGTTAACAATGTGGTGTATTATCTCCATCTAGAGGTCATTTTAACTGTAAAAGCTTTGACAAGAATTCTGTATTTTCTTTGCATTGATATTAAAGATATTCTTAATAGTTGACAACCATACTGTTTTATCAAGTACAATTCCATTAGTTTCCCTGCAGTGTTTTCTGATTCAATGCAAATGCAATTTATATGGTTTGAGAAAGCAAAGGCAGTATACTTCACAGAAGAAAGAGTGATCATGTAATACCAGATCTGAGTTCTAGTTCCTATTTTTCCACTTACTGTGTGAACCGGTTACCAATCAATATACACATTCACACACACACACACACACACACACACATACAGGCACGCACACTCATACACACTGTGCTTTGTTTACCCTACTTAGAAAATGAAAACAGGCTGTTCTGTGAATCACATGCTATAGGGCATGTGGACATAATTTGCAAATGGTAGAGTACAACAAATATGTAAGACATTATTTATGATTAAGGCCATCCCTGTTTGACCTACAAGCTGCAAATCCATTGGTCACTTTATTCTCTTGATTTCAGAAGTATTTTAGCCTGGTCTGACAAAAACAACAGAATAAAATAGAAAGTTTAAGCAGCCTTAAAGTCACAAAGCAATTCATTTTGGAAAATATAAAGATGAAAATTATATCTTTAAAGTGATTCCTGATTTATTAGTTGTTACCTATTATTAACCCTTAATGAAAATTATTCTTAATGATTACATCTTTTATTTTAAAGTAAAGACTTACAGAACATCATATAACATTGCAAACTTGCTGCAGAACTAGATGGTAAATATTTTAGGCTTGGAGCCAGATAATCTCTTTTACACCTACTCTGTTGCTGTGAACAATGCATGGGTGTGGCTGTGCTCCAGTAAATCTTTATTTATAAAAACAGGCAGTCAGAAATTTGGCCTGCAGGCCATACTTTGTTACTCATACTGAATGAACGAGAAAAGGTTTAACATCTTAACATACTGAAAATGATTTCATTAAAAGAAGATTTTTCTCAACGTTCTATTATAATTAATTATGGAATAAGTTTACCTAAATTTCACCCATTATTTCTCAAGTCAAAGTTTAAGTTGCTCTTATATCACCTTTTACCTCAACTGTTTAACTGAATAATTTTTGCATTCAAATTTATTAATATTTATCAATCAATTACATTTGAGTATTTTTAAATTAAAAACTGATACCAAATAAAAAATCATGGGAAACACATTTGGATCATTGCTTTGCATATGTATCGATGAGATTTAATTTTGGAGTTAAACCTCATTGTTACAGACAAGGCATTTATTTCACAACAAAAAGTTAAAAAAAGATAGATAATGGAGAAGTAACCAGATTGGTGGAAGATAGACTACAGCAACTACTAAGGGTGAGTTCAGCATAATCTGTGCTTACAAAATGGATCTCAAGATACTTAGGAAACCCTCAGACAAGATTCAATATTGTTCCTCTATGAAAATTGGAAACTCACATTGGTAAATGTCCTCAGGTTGAGGATTTACATCAAATGTACATTTTAAATGTGATTCTTCATAAATACAGATCAATGAATGGGAAAAGGATGAGAACAGAAGAGGAAGAGCTTCAGAGGAAGAAGACAGGATTAGGGAGGGGCAGAAGGAGGAAAAGGGAAATAGAGGGGAAGGTAAAAAGCTCAGAGTTAGGAGCAAAATGTGTGTTCTTTCTGCATCCTAATCTGGCTAACCAAATGCCAAACACCTCCAATTATTAAGGAATGGGGAAAGTGGGGTAGAGGGGAGAGAGATGGAGGGAAGGCAGGGATGGGGGGAGAGATGTTTGATCAGTACAAATTGACTACAGTAACTCATAAAAATGGAAGACAGGAAGTACTTAACACATACACATGTTAGTTTATTAGTATATTTTAATACTATGTGAATTAAACTATCTAGGAAAATGTGGCTATGGAAATAATAACCAACACTCTTATATACTAGGGAAGTGATCTTAAAAATCTCTGCCAGGATGTAACTGCAACTGTCCCTTTCCTAGAGTTTTTGCAGAAGCACCATGGGTAAGAATAATACTTTCTCTACTAGGTGCTTCAGTTCCTAAGTCAAGATGCTCTGTCCATGCAAGCCATGCTAGGGAAATCATTCACAAATTCTGCAGGCTTTGTGCCTTAGCCATCTCTAGGATGTATGCGGGAAGGCAAAGTCTTCACAGGAGGAAGGAAGAGATGGTGAGGTGGGCGAGATATGGACCACCCTGTCATGAAAGAAGTCAGGAACCAGGATTGCAGCTCATCTTAGGCCAAGTAAGGGCAGCTTCTAAAAACCTTTTCATATTTCAGCCTTTGTTTTTAAAATTTGGGGGATTTAGGAAACGTTATGGGATTCCTGCACACGGAGTTTTAAATGAGATTTTTGTGATGGAGCGCCCCCTGCTGACAGCAAGCCAAAGAAACAGTATGATCTGGGAAGTTGGTTTGTACTTCAGTTAGGTGGGCAAAAATGATTTCCCCAAAGGTCAAATGGGGACCTGTGGAAAAGCAGCTATTTGGAGAGAGTTTTTTACATAACAGTGTAAGGAGGGAATCAAATACACCCAGAGAGGGGATGGATTTATGGAAATTTAAGACTGAAGAAAGTGTCATAAATGGTTATTTCATCTTCTTATCATCTAAAATACCTATCTGTATTGTTGGGGAGGGGGGTGGGGAACTAAGGAATTAAATGCAACTAAAAGGAAGAACAATAACTAAAAGCAATGTATTTCTTCTTATTTGTGTTTTACAATTTTAAATATACAAAGGGTCCGAAACAAATCCTGAATAGTTTTTTTCTTGCCCCAAGGATATTCACGCATGCCACCCAAATAATTAAATTCCCTATGTTTAGAATGAGAAATTATACTCCATCTATGTATGATGTATCAAAGTGCATTCTACTGTCATTTATAACTAAGGAAAACAAATAAAAATTTTCCTGTATTTGGCCTTTCTTGTATTATAACTGGCTTTTCTTTGACCTATGGAAATTGTATCTGATGACTCAGCAACTCAGAAGAAAATGGCTAACGTATTTTTTTATTATTTGAAGCATTCTTTCTATATTTTGTTTAGAACATGACATTATTTCAGTATGTTTTCAAACAAAATGCTATGTTGTTAGATTTAATTATAATTTATCATCTGCAAAGGCATTAGACTTAGTAGATTCATTGATGAAGTCTTCAATGAAAGTTTAAATTAAATGTATTTAAAATATGCTTAAAAAGAAATACATGAGAATAAAAAATAGCACAGTTGCTGTACTATCTCCTAAACACATTTTTTTTTCCAGTGAATATGGCTGACAAGTTCATTGGGTCAATTGTAGCTTTAAAAATCCATTGCAAAATATAAAGAGCATATTAGAACACAAAATACTGCACAAATCCTGTATACTTACCACAGGTGACAGTATCCATTCATGGGCGCTCTAGCAACAGCTCGTTCACCTAAAGTTTTTCCTGAAAGATAAATGTGCTTTTAGAACTTTCATGTAAGTTGTTAGGAGGTGGATTCTGTAATTATATCAGTTGTTCCTAAAGTATGATCCCAAGACCAAAAGTATTATCATCATCTGGAAATGTGTTAGAAAAGCACATGTGGGAGACTACTCAATCATAAACTCTGCATTTTAACCCTCCTCCAATGATTCTGATGTGTGCTAAGGTTCAAGACCCACTTGATTAACAGACTTAACCAAGCACAAGAAAATCATTCAGTCACTACTTCAAAGCATAGAATTTTTTTTTTTTTTTTGGTAATCAATTCAAACAACATTTACTGAATAACTACTAAGTGCTATATCTGGGAATAAAATGTCAAATAAGACACAGTCCTTGACTTTCAGGGCTCACAGGTCAGAAGGTGGCAAGTATATAAACAAGTAAATTGCCAAAAAAAAAAAAGCAAGGAGAAAGAAAACAGAACACAGTAGAATGAGTGTCTAAAGGAGTAAGGAAGATGATGTTCTTACTGAGTCACTTGCAATAATGAAGAGGCTCAGTGACAGAAATTATTTCCCTAAGTTATTTCACTTAATTTTAGAATAACTCTGATAACTCTGATCATGTAGTAATTACTTTGGGCAGAGGTGTGTCTAATACTTTGAAAAAATCAAAATGTTTTAAAGAAAATCACATTCTCAGAATGTTTCTCAAAGAGGCCATTTTGTTTTATACCTTCTTTCTCCACTCCCCCACTTCTTTTTTTATTTTTATTTTTTTGCTTGAAAAGACTATCCAATGATATAGAAAATACCTTTCTATATAAATGGTTGAGATAACCTTTATGATTAAGAATCTTCAATTCTAAAACTATTCTCCCATTTGTTGATTTGTTAGGTAGCACTATATAGCTCTATCCAAAGGGAATTAAAAAGTAAAGTATTTTAATAATAACTGATATTAAATTATGTACAAATATGAAAGGAGTTAGTACTTTTAAGTGAGTGGCGAAAACATACTTGTTAGTGTAAAAATATTAAAAACTAAATCAACGTTTAGAAACATTGCCAAATAAAACTTTTAGTGTACTACCACATGACTAAAATAGAGGTGACTCCATCACTCTTAGAATACAAAAGAAAGTTGGGAAATTTACAGGCTGGATTCCCATGTAGCTGAAGCCCAAAAGGAAAGCTATTTCTATTACAGAACTGTATTTTGTACTCTTTTTGAGACATTTGTATAGATCACTTAATTATGAAGAATATAGTAACATTCCTTTAAATGTTAAGATTTCTATTTTATTTGGAATATGTTAGGGTCAATCATAATGCTTCAAAAAGGTACTGCATAATGATATATTCACTGTGAGTTTTATAAAAGAAGTCTGCACTTTTCAAAGATCAAAGTTTCCTTGGTACAACAAACACATTATTTTGAGAAAAAAAAAAAAAAAAAAAAAACAGTCAATACTTCTTCCCTTATACCAAATCCACCATTCTTCAATAGCTGGCCTGAATCCTTGCTCTCAACTCCATTGTACTTGTTCATAACCTTATTAAGCACATACACTAAATTATAATTGGTGCTTTATTGATATTTTTCACATAGTAAGTTCCTTAGTGTATTATTGTCTTGATAATATTTATGTCTTTCCTCTGCCTTCCTCTAACCCTCATTTTAACATTGCTCCTAGACACAATAATTTTGAATAAATATTTCTTTCTTTCTTTTTGAGGAGAGAGAGAGAGAGAGAGAGAGAGAGAGAGAGAGAGAGAGAGAGAGAGAGAGAGAATTTTAATATTTATTTTTCAGTTTTCGACAGACACAACATCTTTGTTTGTATGTGGTGCGGAGGATAGAACCCGGGCCGCACGCATGCCAGGCGAGTGCACTACCGCTTGAGCCACATCCCCAGCCTGAATAAATATTTCTTACACGGATGAATAAAAGGAATGAAGTCTTTTTTAACTTATTTCAATAAAGTCTTCTTAATTATTTCAATATCTGAGGTATTTCTCCTTTTTCTTTGACATGATAAATTTTCCTTCCTTTCTTTCCTCCCTTTTTCCTTTTCCCTCCATATCTTCCTTCCTCCCTCCTTCCTTTCTTCCTATATATTCTACTTCAATTCTATGCTGCATCTTACCCCGGGATTTCCTCCAGCATATATCCATTTCATTAATTCAGTTAAACTCCTGAACCATTTAAAAATAGAGATTCAAAGTAATTTTACTCTATGGGGAACTGTTAACTTCCATAAGAAAGACTTCCCCGTATCAAACTCCAATCCTTGCAATCACATACTCCACGGTATACAATCTCACAATCCGTTATGTACCATCATCCCATTTATGAAACACCTAAAAAACTTACGTAGAAAAACAAATACACCACTTCTGTAACTTTGAAATAAATATTGATGCTTTTAGAGTTCTGTTCTTTTGAGGAAAGTAACAGGAATGAATAGTGATAATATTCATTACTATTATTAAAGATAAAAAATTATGTACTGAGCTCTAGATTATAATTTACAACATATTGTGATACACCTGTGTCAATTTCATTTAAATATTTGTAGAACTAAAAACTTGGGACTAGATGGGTTAATACCCTGCACTCTTCTTTGATAATAGCTTATTCCATTTTGGTTCCTTATACATAAGGTTATTTGAATAAAAGTGCCTTCCCATCAGTTGTAAGCTTCCCCATAGTCTATTTTGAGACTATGTATTCTGTTATTCCATTTTTGTGATCTTCACCTGCTACCTGCTAATATAAAGCCCAGGTTAGGGCAAGTGCTTAAGAAAAACTTGTATCTAATTTCTGAAAGTATCAAACATTTTACATAAATATATTTATATTTTCTCAGTAGATATGAAAATTAAATACTTTGTTCTATTTGATTAAATTTCTATTTTCCTTGAAGTTAATAAATCTCTTCTCTAGAATTCCACTTTGTATTTAGCATGCAAATTGGACTGCTCCAGACAAACTGATCCACAAAGCTGATAATGAATATGACAAACAAGAAGGGAGGTCCTCTTATTTTCCTCCCTCTGCAGGAAGACTAAAGTGCAGAGGTCATTCCGTAAACATATCTCCAAGCTGAAGTATCACAAAGAGTTTGGTAATATTTCCTTTGTAGAAATAAACACAACAGAGAACTATACGGGGAGGAGATCTCTCTTGCCATTTCTTCCTCATGCTATCTTAGAGAAGACAGGCCTGGAAAAGAGTTGGCTTTGGAATAAAAGAAGAATTTTAGGGGTCATGATGCCAAATTATAATGCTGAAGCTCAGAGACATGGCAGTTAGGAGCTTTTATAAGAAAGTGTTTTGGCATTCATTGAGAGTCAAGGTGAAATATGAAAATGATAACACTAAGAACAACAATTTGACATTCTGGCTATTGTTTGTTGTTATTAGGGAATTTTAAAAAATATACAAAAAAGTATAGATGACAGTATAAAAGATCATGATGTATTTATCAGTTAGCTTTAACATTATTAACTCAAGATTAATCTTGATTTATCAAGATATATTTTGAAAAAAACATGAGTGTTTCTTTCCTTATGGTCTCCAGAGCACTCCCCTGAATATGTAAGGTGTGTTATTTTAATTGTGGTAGATTACTGCTGGTGACAATAGTCCTTTGCCTATTATTGTTCCTCAAATACTACCACTTAATGTCTTTCTGTGATTATATAAACTTTAGAAGGTGATATTTGAGGGTTTTTTTCAGTTGCCTATTCTAATATGCTCAAATATTTTTAAACAATGTATATTTTAGCTCTAAGAAAACTGTCCTGAGACTGTGTGTATTTTTTGCTACTAGGATATACTAAAGTAAATTAAACATATTGATTTTAATTAAGATTATTTAGATTTAATTATAATTCACTAGCAGTTTATTTTAGATCCTAATTGCCACTTGAGAATAACCAGTCTTGAAAAAATACTTACCAATATTAGCATAATGTTTCTTTTCTTGTGTGTTTGTAGACAACTCACTCATGTCTCCATAAGCACGAACAAGTCGCCACATATACTCTGCTTCATCTTTAAACTGAAAAGATAAAATTGCCCATTAGATGTACTCAATATTTGTTCAGACTAAAACTGTTTTCCAACTGCAACTTTTAACAATTGGTATTTTAAGTAACTGAATCTATGCATACACAAATTTAAGTATTTAACATTTTAAATCCAAATATCTATGACTAAGAAATGTGACCTAATGTATTATTGAATCTTAAACCTAATTAATATTACCTAGGCACTTGGTCTTAGTATGTAGAAGAGAGAATTGACAGGTATCAGAATCCATAAATTCTCTGTGAGTTATGGTACCTTCTTATTTTTCTAAGTTATTTATTTTATCAATATAGATAGCTCAGTGAACATTATGAATAACATCTGTATACTTAAGTATATATACTCAAAAGGGTAATCATACTTTTAACCTAAACTTCCCAAATATAATCTTGAAGATTTTTTAAGGTTTTAAAATTTTATTGACAGATAGTAATTGTATTTTTTATGGGGTACAGTGTGATGCTTTGGTATATTTCTACTCAGATTACTTAGGTTTTTAGACAATGTGTTTAGAGGTTAGGCTTAAATTGCTCATGGGAAAGATTTTTTTTCTTTTGAGGATACTGCAATATCCTCCCCTGACACCTTTTTCTTTACTGGTAGTGGAAAAAGGGATGAGTTTTTCCATTCAGGTCCAACATTAAAGATTGCAAAATGACCACCGGTTGAAATACCTTTAAATATTGATAGTCCCATCATACAAATAACAAAATAGAAAAATTAAAATATTGTTTTTCCTCTCCCCAGAGAACAGGTACTATATGCCTTGGCATAATGTCTTATTCTTAATCATTTATGTATATAAATTAATAAAAAAGGAAATCCTTATAATTATAGGTCTGGTACCTATTTTTAGATAAGTTTCATTAACTCTTTTTTTTTCATTTTTAAAATTTTTTATTTGTTCTCTAGTTATACATGAAAGTAACCTTTTTTTTTTTTTTTTTTTTAGTACCAGGGATTGAACCCAGGGGCACTCAACCACTGAGCCACGCCCTTTTTTGTATTTTATTTAGAGACAGGGTCTGACTGAGTTGCTTAGCTCTTCACTTTTTTTGCTGAGGCTGGCTTTGAACTCATGATCTTCCTGCCTTAGCCTCCTGAGCCACTGGGATTATAGGCGTGTGCCACCATGCCTGGCAGTAAAATGTGTTTTGATATATCATACATATCATACATACATGGAGTACAACTTCCCATTTGTGTGATTGTATGTGATGTGGAGTTATGCTGGTCATGTATTCATATTAGAACATAAGAAATTTATGTCCCATTCATTCTATTGTCTTTCCTATTCCTATCCTCCCTTCCCTTTATTCCCCTTTGTCTAATCCAGTGAACTTCTATTCTTTCCTCTGCCCTGCTTAATGTGAGTTAGCATCTGCATATTAGACAGAACTTTTGGCCTTTGGTTTTTTAGGGATTGGCTTATTTCACTTAGCATGACAGTCTCCAGTTTCATCCATTTATTGGCAAATGCCGTAATTTCATTTTTGTTTATGGTGGAGTAATTTTCCATTGTGTATGTACCAGATTTTCTTTATCCATTCACCTGTTTAAGAACCTCTAGGTTGGTTCCACAGTTTAGTTATTATGAATTGAGCTGCTATAAACATTGATGTGGCCATGTCATTATAGTATGCTGATTTTAAGTACTTTGGGTATAGACTGAAGAGTGGGATAACTGGGTCAAATGGTGTTCCATTCCAAGTTTTCTGAGGGATCTCCATACTGATTTCCAGAGTGGCTGCACCAATTTGCAGTGCCACCAACAATGTATGAGTGTTCCTTTTTCCCCACATCTTCACCAACATTTATTGTTACTTGTATTCTTGATATTTGCCATTCTGACTGAAGTGAGACGAAATTTCAGTGTAGCTTTAATTTGCATTCCTCTAATTGCTAGAGCTGTTGAACATTTTTTCATATATTTATTAACTGATTGTATTTCTTCTTCTGTGATGTGTGTGTTAAGTTCCTTTTTCCATTTATTGATTAGGTTATTTGTTTTTTGGTGTTAAGTTTTTTGAGTTCTTTATATGGAGATTAATGTTCTATCTGAGGTGCATGTGGCAAAGATTTTCTCCCATTCTGTAGGCTCTCGCTTCACATTACTGATTGTTTTCTTTGCAGTAAAGAAGTTTTTCATTTGATACTATCCCATTTATTGGTTCTTGATTTTACTTCTTGCACTTTAGGAGTATTGTTGAGGAATTTGGTTCCTAAGACAATGTGATGGAGATTTGGGTGTACTTTTTCTTCTAGTAGGCACAGGGTCTCTGGGATAATGCCTAGGTCCTTAATCCACTTTGAGTTTTGTGTAGGGTGAGAGGGGACTAATTTCATTTTGCTATATATGGATTTCCAGTTTTTCTAGCATCATTTGTTGAAGAGGCTACCTTTTCTCCAATGTATGTTTATAGCACCTTTGTCTAATATGATATAACTATATTTATATGAGTTAGTCTCTGTGTCTTCCATTCTGTACCACTGGTCTTCATGTCTGTTTTGGTGCCAACACCATGCTATTTTGTTACTATAGCTCTATCATATAAATTAAGGTCTTGTATTGTGATGCCTCCTGCTTCAATTTTCTCACTGAAGATTGCTTTGACTATTCTGGGCCTCTTGTTTTTCCAAGTGAATTTTATAACTGCCTTTTCTATTTCTAAGAAGAATGTCATTGGAATTTTAGTAAGAATTGCTTTAAATCTGTTTAGCACTTTTGGTAGTATGGACATTTTGACATTATTAGTTCTGCCTATCCAAGAATGTGAGAGATCTTTCCATCTTTTAAAGTCTTCTTCAATTTCTTTCTTTAGTGTTCTCTTAGTTTTCATTGTGGAAGTCTTTCACATAGTGGACTAGCAATCATAAATATTTATGGCTCAAACAATGGAGCATCTGCATACATCAAACAAATATTTCTCAATTTCAAGAATCAAATAGACCACAGCACAATAATACTTGGTGACTTTAACATACCTCTCTCACAACTGAATAGATTCTCCAAACAAAAAGAAGCTATAGAACTAAAAAATACAATTAATAATTTATATATATATATATATATAGAGAGAGAGACTTTAATATATATATATAATATTTCATCCATCAATCACTGAATATACTTTCTTCTCAGCAACCCATAGATCCTTCTGTACAATAGACCATATCTTATGCCACAAAGCAACTCTTAGCAAATACAAAAAAGAGAGTTAATACCCTGCATTCTGTCAGATCATATGGAATGAAATTAAAAATCAATGATAAAATTAAAAATAGAATCTACTCTAATACCTGGGGAATAAATAATATGCTCTTCAGTGACCAATGGATAGAAAAAGAAATCAGGATGAAATTAAAAAATTACTTAGAGGTAAATGAGAATAGTGATACAACACATCAAGATCGAAAGGACACTATGAAGGAGATGCCAAGAGGAAATCATTGAGCTCATTCATTAAAAGAATAGAAAGTCACTGAATAAATAACCTAACATTACATCTCAAAGCCCTAGAAAAAGAACAAATCAACACCAAAAGCAGTGTAAGACAGAAAATAATTAAAATCAGAATTGAAATCAATGAAATTGAAACCAAAACGATCCAAAAAAAATCAATGAAACAAAAAGTTGTTTCTTTGAAAAAGAAAATAAAATTGATAGACCCTTATTCATGTTAATAAAGAGACAGAGAAAAAAACAAATTACTGAAATTCATAATGAAAAAGGAAATATCATAATGGATACCTCTGAAATACAGGCAATAATCAGAAACTATATTGAAAATTTATTCTCTAATAAAATAGAAAATTGTGATGACACCAACAAATTTCTAGAGACATATGGCCTATACAAATTGAATCAACAGGACATACAAAATTTAAACAGATCAATTTCAAGCAATAAAAGTGAAGATGTCATCAAAAGTCTACCAAGAAAGAAAAGCCCAGGACCAGACGGGTTCTCAACCTAGTTTTACCAGACCTTCAAAGAAAAACTAACACCAATCCCCCTCAAATCATTCTATGAAATTGAAAATAAGGGAATCCTTCCAAACTCATTCTTTGAAGCATGTGATACCAAAGCCAGACAAAGACATCAAGGAAAGAAAACTTCAGACCAGTATCCCTGATGGACATAGATGCAAAAATTATTAATAAAATACTGGCAAATCACATACAAAAACATATTACAAAGATAGTGCAGCATGATCAAGTGGGGTTCATCCCAGAGATTCGAGGTTGGGTCAACATACAGAAATTAATAACATAATTCATCACATCAACAGACTTAACAGACAAGAATCATATGATCATCTCAATAGATGCAGAAAAAGAATTTGACAAAATACAAAATCCATTCATGCTCAAAATACTAGAAAAACTAGGGAAAGAACATCTTTCAACATTGTAGAAGCTATATATGTTAAACCCAAGGCCAACATCATTCTAAATGTAGAAACATTGAAAGCATTCCTTCTAAAACTTGGAATAAGACAGGGATACACTCTTTCACCATTTCTATTCAACATAGTCCTTGAAATTCTAGCCAGAACAATTAGAAGAAAGACATTAAAGGGATACAAATAGGAAAAGAAGAACTCAAACTATCTTACTTTGCTTACATGATTCTATATTTAGAAGACCCCCCCAAAACACCAATTTCTAGTACTAGTGAATGACCTCAGCAAAGTAGCAGGATATAATAACACACATTAATCAATTGCATTCCCTAAACATCAGTGATGAATCAACTGAAAGAGAAATAAGGAAAACTATCCCATTCACAGTAGCTTCAAAGAAAATAAAATATTTGGGAATCAACCAAATATTTGGTTAGATATGCTGGAGGCTCTTCATAGAATGCAAATTGGTCTGGAGATTTTAAGCCAGCACACCTCTGGGCTCAGCAATTGCGAGTCTTCACTGGAAGATTTCCCCCCAGCGATCTCCCCTGGGTTCCACTTGTGGGTGGAGGAGCCAATTCTTAGTCCACTGTGTCACCTGCAGACCCAACATTTCCTGGTCCTGGGCTCAGTCTCCAAACTCAATCTCTCCTGCTCTGGCCCTTTCAAATTCCTGGCCAGGCATGTCTCTCCCAGCTGATCCTGCAAGCAGCTGGATTGGGACAGGGAAAGGGAGAGCTGGGTAGGTTTCCACAACCAATATTCCTCTGTGTAAACCTTTCTCCACATTTGATTTTTTCCTGGTCACACAGGCACTCTCTATGTCGTGCAATGTGGGTTTGCAAGACTTATATTTCAGGCCAAACTCAGGTTTACCAGGAATTTTCTCCCCCAGCTGCTGGCCCCCATGAAGTGGCTGCAAAATTATTCCTTCCTTTGTCTTCCACATGCCACAGGGAGAGAATCAGCTTCTTTCCCACATGAGGATATTGTGCAGTATGCCTTTCAGTTTAATCAGGCAGTGTTTTTGATCTATAAACTTTCCATACCCAGACATGTCTCAGGGTTCCTAAAAATGCTGGTTCCTTTAATTCCTTTATCCCTCCACTTTGCTCACACAGGGACCTCTCTGGCTGTGGCAGTGGCTGTGGCATGGGGATTTCTTTGTAACTTTACTATAACCAACCTCCTGAGTCTCTGATCTGCTTTGACTATCCAGTATTAAATTCCAGTAAAGTACTGCCTTTTTTTTTTAATATTCACTGACCTTGCTGAGACACTGCCTATCTACTTTCTTGTTTTCATACCACAGAACAGCCAGGAAAGTGACCTTCTCTATTCTGCCATCTTGATATATCCTATTAATTAAATCTTATACTTAAGTTTTTTAAAAATTTTAGTCATTTTATTAAAAAACTTCACATCAATCATTTACATTATGTGAACTGTGACATAACATAAATAAGATGATAGATAAAGTAAAAAAAATGAAAACAACATATTGTCAAAAATTCTTACCTTTTCTTTGTTTCTTTAGTTTTTTCATGTGGTGCCAGGGATTGAACCCAGTGCCTCACACATGTTAGGCAAGCACTCTACCACTGAGCCATAACCCCAGAAGTTCTTACCTTTTCTTTGTAGTCACAAAGTAGTTCAAAACTCTCCGTCTTGCCAGACTCATTCATACGTAAATGATCTGCCTTCTGAAGAAGGGCATCTAACTTTAATTCTTCTACATGTGTGTTAAATGCCTTAGTGCCTGGAAAACTTTGTTCTTCTGTGTCAGTATTAGCTGTAATATACCTAAAATAGCAGAAATGACCATTAACTCCTATGAAAGTTATGCATAATTGCCAGAGTGATACTTTTAAAATGCAAATCGAATCATACATAGAACTATAATTGGTGCCCAGTAGACAACAGAGACAATGCTGAAGATCTAATAACAGTTCCTGTACAATTTGCCTCCCAACCCCAATTCCTCTCTAACTTCATTTGTCACCACTCTTCTCACTCATTCATCTCCACTGTGGCCTCCTCGCTGTTCCTTAAGCCTGCCAAGCATGTCCTACCTCAGGACCTTTGCTCTGATGCTGCTTTGATGCCATGCTCTTACCTTAGACAGCTATACTACACCCTCACCTCCTTCAAATCTTTGCACCAATGTCGTTTCCTCAGTGTAGCCCATCCAGGTCACTCTATTTAATACAGGAACTCACACACTCCTCACCTTCAATCTCCCTCATCATGTTTGACTCCCCACTCACATAGCACATATTATCTTCTAATATACTGTATAGCTTACTAATCTACTACATATGCTGTAATTTGTCAGTATTCATTCCATAAGAATGAATGCTTCCTGATAGTTGGGTTCATCAACTCATGTGTCGAGTGCCCAAACGGGGCACTTATATTTTATAATATATAAGAAAACAAATTAGAAATAGTGAGGAAAGCAAAAAAAAAAAAAAAAAGGTCAAAGATGAATGCAGTCAATAAAAGATACATATATTTTTTCCTTTTTACAAGGAACACAAATGTGGTTCTTCATTTTTGAGCAGCTAATGCAATCAGTCATATAATTTGCAGTTCTCATTAGATATAAACAAAGATAAAAGTGAGTTCTTTGGAAAATTGCAACTATTACCAAATGCTGACTCACATTTCTTTCAAAGGCCTTATAAAGAAGACATTTTATGAACTGATATCTAACTTCTTAAAAAAACTTTCTTTACTAATGGAAACCATGTTTTCCCAATGATTCAAAACAAAACACCTGGACTCATCCTTGATTGTTTTTTTTTTTTCCTAAGCACCATCTAGCAAATTCTGTTGATTCTATCTTCAGAATGTACCCAGAATCTAGCCATTTCTAACCACCTCTCCCAGTGTCACCCTGATCTAAACCTCCAACATCTCGCCTGAATTACTGCAATGGCCTTCTATCATGTCTCCCTGATTTAATTCTTGACTTTCATTAGTCTATTTTGAATAGAGTAGACAGAAGGATTTTAAAAAACCTGAATCATGTCACCCTTTGCTTAAATTCCTCTCACAGATGCCCAAAGCAGAGTAAAACTTGTCTGTACAGTAGTCTACAAGGCCCTACATAATCTGGTCCAATACTTCTGACCTCATCTACCACTTTTCTGTTTGCTTAGCATTCCAGGAACTTTGACTTCCTTGAACACATAGTCACTTTCCTGCTTTAAGATTTTTGTACTTGCTTTTACTTCTGCCTGCTGTTCTTCCCTGAATATCCACATAGTTTACTTTTTTGACTATTTCACATCCTTGTTTACTTAAATGTAACCTTATTATTGTAGGCAATATGATTAATTACATAATAACCCCAAATAAGTTGCAAATTATAAAATATATGAGTTCAGCTGGATATAAATTAGCTGGATATAAGATTAACATATGAAAATCAATTTTATTCATATATATCAGTAACATAAAAATACCTAAAAAGCATAATTAAAGAAAATATTCCATTTACAATGATCTCAGAGTGTATCTAACATCTTGGAATAAAGGTAATAAAAAACAATGTGAAATACTATGGAGAAAATTTATAAAAGTTGCATTAAAAGATGTTTATAAAATGACCTAAGCTCAGAGACAAATAACACCATATTCATGGCTAAGAAGACCAAACATCATAAATATTTGAATTCTCTCAGAGCAATATACAGATTCAATCGAAGGCCAATTTTATAAGTCTAATAAGAATTTTAATAGAATTTCATAAGATGATCTAAAACTTATATGTAAAAGTGAAATGTCTAGAACAGCCAAATCATTATTAAAAAAAGGAACAAGAGTAGAAAACTTACTTTACCAGATAATAGGACCTATTATGAAGCAATAACAAGGAAAGAGTGTGGTATTGGTACAGTGCCCAGATTAGAAGAGAAAGAAGTAAAATTATCTCTATTCATAGGTAACATCACCTTGTATACAAAAAATTCTATGGAATACACACACACACACACACACACACATTACCCCTACCCCCTATTAGAACAAATAAAAAGTTGAGAAGGGTTACAGGATATGAGATCAATGAACAAAAATGAACTGAATTTTTATAAAGCAATGAACATTCCAAAGACGAAATGAAGAAAACAATTTGATCTGTGATATGATTTATAAGAAAACAATTCTTGAGGCTGAGGCTGTAGCTCAGTGGCCTGCCTTGCACGTGTGAGGCACTGGTTTCGATCCTCAGCACCACATAAAAATAAGCAAATAAAATAAAGGCATGCTGTCCATCTATAACTACAAAAACATTTTTTTAAAAAAGAAAGTAATTCTTAGAAATGCATTTAATAAAGAATTCCAAGACTTTATTAAAACTACAAACATCGTTGAAATTAAATAAGATCTAATAAGTCTAAAATGAAATTTCATGTTTGTGAATTGAAAGACAGTACTATTAAGTAGCATTATAAGATTATTAAGATAGTACTATTAAGACAGAAATGCTCCTGAATTTAACTACAGATTCAAAGCAATTCCTATTAAATTTCATCTGGAATTTTCCCCCCAGAAATTGGAAAACTGATCTTAAAATTCCTATGGAAGTCTGGCATGTGTGGTACATGCCTGTAATTCCAATGGCTCAAGAGGCAGGAGGGTCATGAGTTCAAAGCCAGCTTCAGCAACTTAGTGAGGTACTGAGCAACTTAGTGAGACTCCATCTCTAAATAAAATATTTTAAGAAGGGCAAATATATCTAAAAAGTACCAAATATACCTAAAAAGCATAATTAAAGAAAATATTCCATTACAATGATCTCAAAGTGTATCTAACATATATATCAGATATATATGTTATGTGTGTGTGGTGTGTGTGTGTTTGTTTGTGTCCCTTATGGAAATGCAAAGGACCCAGAATAGTCAAAATTCTTGTTAAAGAAGAAAAAAAGTGGAGGCCTCATACTTTCTGATTTGGAAATATACTACAAAGCTACAGTAATCAAGAGAGTGTGGTACCTGCATAAGGATAGACATATGGACTAGACATTAAGAATCTATTAAGAATTAAGAGTGTGGAAATAAGTCTTTACATTTTTGGTCAATTATTTTGACAAGATTTTGAAGACAATTTAGCAGAGGAGGCAATACTCTTCAATAAATTGGGCTGGGACAAATGAATATCTACATGCAAGAGGATGAAATTGAACTTTTATATTATATATAAAAATTCACTCAAAATGTATCAAAAAACTAAATATAAGATCTAAACTAAAAAACTCTTAGGAAAAAAACCATATGAATTAATAATCTGATACTCCACAGAATAGGAGAGAATACTTATAAATCTTATATTTGAGAAAGGACTATATATTAAAAAAGAACTGTTACAACTCAATAATAAAGAAATAACCAACTTAAAAATGGGCAACTCCATGACCAAATAAAAAGTGCCCAATTAATTGTATGCTTAACAGGAAATTTTATGGTACGTATATAATATCTCAGTAAATCTATTATTCTTTATAAGAATAGAAACTTGAATATTCCTTTAGACATTAAATAAACTAACTCAGAATTATATATCTACTCTTTCTCCTCCCCTTCCATACACACACACATACACACACAAAAAAAACAGTTGTATAACAAATTCTACCAAATATCCAAATTAGACTTAGTTCTCGCTCACATCCTGCATGGTGAGGGAAAGGGTTCTCCTCCAGAGGGATGGGTTGGCTGAGAAATAAAAGCTAAGAAAAGTAGTACTATGAAATAACCACAGAAAACAGAAATATAGTTTCAGAATGGGGACAACCACGGGCCAATCTGACCAGATGGGTACAACTTCTGACAAAGAACAGGGCCCACACCCAGTTTATTTATATCAGAACAGATCAAAGAGATTTGATAGAAAGTTCTTCACCAAAACAGGATACAGGTGGGGGCAGGTAGGGTGCTCAGTTTCTAACAGGTCACACCCATCTCCCTTGCTGCACAGGACCTTTAAGGGAAGAGCTGAGGGGGAGTTCACTTGTATTGGGTGGTCTTAATAGTGTGAGTGCCACTATAAGTTCCCAAATACTGGATCTACCCCTTCACTGGCTTCAGTGTTGAAAAGGTCCTTACACATTTCACTTCACAGGTGGCTTTCCACACTTAGTCAAACTCTTCTATGGAAAAAAGAAGTGATATCATTCATCTCATTTTATAAAGTTAGTATATCTGTAAACAAAATCAGATATAGAATAATTCTGGGTGATTTTAACACACCTCTTTCACCACCGATATATCTTCCAACAAAATATAAACAAAGAAACTACAGAACACAATAAAACAATCAATAAACTTAGACTTAACTGACATATATAGAATACCTTATCCATCAACAAGCGATTACACTTTCTTCTCAGCAGCACATGGATCCTTCTCTAAAATTGGCCATATATTATGCCACAAAGCAACTCTTAGCAAATACAAAAAAGTAGAGATACTAGCCTGCATTCTATCAGATTATAATAGAATGAAATTAGAAATCAATGATAAAATAAAAAATAGAAGCTACTCCAACACCTGGAGACTAAATAATATGTTATTGAAAGAACAACAGGTTGCAAAAGACATCAAAGAAGAGATTAAAAAATTCTTAGAGGTAAATGAGAACACTGATACTACATAATCAAAATCTCTGGGACACTATGAAAGCAGTACTCAGAGGAAAGTTCATTGCATGGAGTTCATTCCTCAAAAGAAGAAAAAGTCAACAAATAAATGAACTTACATTACATCTCAAAGCCCTAGAAAAAGAAGAACAAATCA